CAGAACTGGCAGCTACCTAGACCTCCCATGCCCCTGAACCAGTTCTCCTATGGGGCCACCATCTTGATTTTGAAGCTAGGTTGGTGAGCGGTGCTCTGCCGGGCCGGAGGGGGGGGGGTTGTCCAGGGGGCTTATTTTGGGGGGGCTTATATATTTGCCCACCCGAAAAATGTGGCAAGGTGTTAGTTTCAGGTCATGTTGTATTTTCAGGGAAACATGGTACTTTTCTGCAAATGGCACGCACACGGAAATGTGCACAGACATGCGCAGTAATGACAGGAGCAACCCACCCCTGCCCCAAACAGACCCCTTGCACAACTAGGGGCCCTCCTGCACTCATGATTCTTACTCAAGGAACAGTGGCAGTTGTGACAGTGCCATGTAAATTATCACAATTTCATAATGCATACCATTTGTGCCCAGTCCTAGACTGAGGGGCCCTGCTCATGGTACCCTAGTCGCCTCCCAATCGGACTATTGCACTTGAGGAGTATCTGGAAACTTCAGCTGATACAAAATGCAGCGGGCACAGGCCATTCTGTGTGCTCCTCATAGAATTTAACCCTAAATTTAAATTTATTAAAATAAAATAAATAAAAATAGAATAAATTTATTTATTTATTAAAATTATTCACTAAGACTGTATTACTATTCTTCTTCTCATCCTTACCCTAGTACCTATCTCTTCCCACTTATGACTATAACCGTGTTGCTTGTATTTTTACAATTTACATTGTTCTGTTGTTTCCTAGTATGATTTGATTGCTTATTAGTAACCTATGACTATCACTAAGTGTTGTATCTTATGATTCTTGATGAATGTATTTTTTCCTTTCTTTTTTCCTTTTATGTTTATGCACCAAAGACAAATTCTTGTCTTGGCGAATAAAGAATTCAATTCAATTCTATGCTATTCTATTCTACCCATCCATCCATTCATCCATTTAATTTATTAATTGTCCATGTTACCATTAAGTAACTCTGAGCAGCTTACAGATATAAAAATATATCTACATGAAAACCTGAATAAATTGAAACCAAAGATTAAAATCAAGGGGTAGAATGGGGGCAGGGGGGATATGATGCTACTCAATAACCACCTCCACTGTGCTGTTTTCCCACTGGGGTCCCAGGCAGAGCCAGGTCTTTAGGCCTTACGAAAGGATAGGAGGTTGGGGGTCAACCTTACGTCTGGGGAAAAGATGTTCCAGAGGGCAGGAGCAACAGCAGAGAAATTTGATAAATAAATAAAACGAACAAAAATCAATATATAACAATATAAGTTTTCATAACAGCATAATAGATACTATTTTAGAGTAATCCCAGAAAAATATGCAAAGGACAAGGCAAAGTCATACATTGACTAACCAGTCCTGTATATCTTCATTCTGAGGTGAAAGGTGAATGTATCATGCCTGATTCATATCTTTTTATGATTTTATGGGGAACTCAGTTTTAAATTCAAAGGTTAATATTTTTTGAACTACATACCTAGCACTTGAAATTTGAGAACTGGACAATGTAAATGGATTCTCCATGTCCTACTCTGGTGAAAGTACTGATATTGCAGCATTAGAAAGATGGCCCCATTCACTCAATGGATTGAAGACCTGATTGTATCTGCCACCTATGAGTGAAGTGCCTATAGATCTAAACTTTGCATGGACAAATATAATAAAATACGGGATTCATTTATACAGAAAATAAAATATGATTATATATATATATATATCCTTGAATAATAATTGCATTAGATAACTATTGAATTCTAATTATTTATTGCTAAAATGGTTTCTTCTTCTTTTTCTGCATTTTTTCACTTTCTTTGTGTTTTTTTCTTTGTCAGTATATGTATCTTTATCTTTCCATTTTGTTTTTTCCCCCATTTCATGTTTTGTTATTATATTAAAATCAATAAAAGAATAAATAAAAGCATATATGCTTTTAGATATATATATATATATCTTTAGAACTTTATATGACTGAATGAATCTATGAGCCTAAACTTATTAAATTTCTAATAGATGCAAATTATTACTATGCCAGAAATGAAATGATTTCTAATAGAATTATGGTTTGGGAAATGTCTCATTTTGAATATTTGAGCTTCGAGTATTTAGAAAGAGCAAATTAGTTTTTGTGGGATACGGGATTAACATATATTAGGGCAGAAGAAATATCAGTACTACAGTATGCTGTGAATTGTGAACAAGATAGTGAGTAGTTTTCCCACCAATAAAATTAGTAGGAATTTGGTGTCTTTGTAATATTTAACATGGTAAAGTAAGACAATCAGATTTGTAAAATACTGGAAGCCATACAATACTTTGAAAAACTGCATAAGGAAATAGTATCAATAAAGGAGAATATTTGCATCTCAGGGTAGAAATGAGGGGTTCTTGGTGCTCTCTGACTTTGCTTGTTTTCTTGCAGACATTTCATTACCCAAACTAGGTAACATCATCAGTGCGGTGCCAATTTTGGAAGACTGGCACAATATATACGTACATCTATATTTACCATTCATGATCACAAGGGGGCAGTAACAACTAAGAAGAAGGATTAAAACTCTCCCACTACCAATGGAACAAAAGAAATAAATACTTTTCATCTATGAATTCACTTTGAATTTGTACAAGTGGGAAGTGGTGATGGATAAACGAACCCACGTGCAAATTAATTCTTTGTAAATTCATATGCTGGGCTTAAATATCTTAATTATTTTTATTCAGTAAAGTACCATATTTTGTGACATTGTGCCATATTTCGGCATTTATTTAAATAGAGAAATAAAACTGATTTGCAATGTAATTTATTTTTCTAACCAAACCTCTTTTTTCTCTTTGTTAGTGGCTAAATAAACCAAATTGGCAAACGAGGTTGGATGTGTGATTCAAAGAACTGAAAGGTCCTGTCACAATTGGCTTACTTATACAGTAATGCAATCCTTTGGTAGAACAGAGTGATCGAGTACCATCCATTTGATGGTAAAATAATGAAATATAAGAACTCTGCACACAACATTTTAATAGGTGCAAATTTTCCTCCATCGAATATTCCTTTACCTTCCTTTTTCCACGCCATGTCGTGCTTATTTGATTACATGAAAGCTTTGATGAATGGATCCAAAAATCCATTTATTCCACCATTCCTGATGGGTTATTCTGAGTGAGCTTAAGTTAACCAGCCTTCATAATTTTACCTGAGTGTAGCTCCTTCTGCAATGGGATAATACAATATAGGAATTTAGCACCCACCCCCTCTACTATAAAAATGAAATAGCCTAGGAAATATTAAAAAGGGAGAATATTATATTTCCCTGGTTGAGAAATAGAGAAATATGTTTCTAGGCAGGAGACAGACTTACTCTTAATAGCCTCCCCCCATTTTGTCAATGGGCCATTATGGTCTGAGCCAGTCTATTCTACATAACAAAGATCTACCTCCTTAAGACAGAGCCATTTCATTGCCCTTCATTGCACCACCTGCCAAGTTTCAACCAAACTTAGCACATAGACAACCTACAAAGCTAGCTATGATCTCTGACAGCAACCAATCAGGATACTCTTCCTGTGCCCCAGGAAGTTCAAAGCTCAGAGAGGCCATAAAACCCAGGGACTCTCAGCATCTCCTCCCTTTTCTCCCAGGAGCTCCAAGGCATGTGATCCTGTCCACCATTAAACCATCTTTCCAAGCAGCCTCCATGTTTCCAGTGTCTTTTTCCCCACTTGGAACTGAATCCAGATGGACATTTCTTTCAACAATAGCTATGTCTGTGAAGTGTTCATATTGTTCTATGACGGTGGAATTCCCTTTCCCTTGACCCAAATCTTGCTGAGGCACAATGCCTAATTTCCAGGAGGAACAGAGTGGAGCTACATTACAAAAAGAGGAGAAAGGAAGAAAAAGACACTGGAAACACGGAGGCCGCTTGGAAAGATGGTTTAATGGTGGACAGGATCACATGCCTTGGAGCTCCTGAGTGAAAAAGGAAGAGATACTAAGAGTCCTTGGGTTTTATGCCCTCTCTGAGCTTTGAACTTCCTGGGGCACAGGAAGAGTATCCTGATTGGTTGCTGTCAGAGATGATAGCTAACTTTGTAGG